ATTTTCTTTTTGGTTGGGCAGTTATTAGTGCATCGGGTTCTCTTTAGACTGTTTCCCCCCGTGGAGTCCACATCTTCTCAGACAATTTCGTTGGAGAAACTTTCTTTTGAGAATTTGAAGTCTTACCTGGACAAGAATCCTGATTGTTCGAGGTGTGTTGTTCTACTAGTATGGTAATATTTTTTCATATTGGTCATAGAAACGATCTTAGTTTTGTGGACAAAGCCATCTAGAAGGTTTTGGTTTATTACACCAATTCAGTTGTGAATCATTTTTCCTGCTCTAGATTGCGATCGTCGATGGAAGGATATCTTGATGCCTATGATCCCATCACATCTGCTACTCCAGCTGGTGTTTTCGTCAACCGTGTTGAGGTAAACTATGCAATCTTCAAGTAGATCCTGCACCAACATCTAAATTTAAACATTCAGACATTTCAAAAATTACCGTACAGCCTAATAACCACATTATTAAAATTATAATATTGTAATTTTGTGGTGGTTGTGCAGGAAAGTGAGTTTGAATGTGTTCCAACATGCCTCATGGATAACGTGATTTCTTTTCTGAATGTAAGCAACAAACATAATTTAGAATTTTTTTTGTTTTGAGTAGTTTGTGCCTCTCTGTCTTATCTTCAAGTCTTACAGGATGTAAGGGAAGATCTCCGTGCTTCCATGGCAAAGGACATCGTTACCATTAAGAATGAAGGCTTCAAGAGTGAAGAAGAGCCCAACCGTCAGTTGATCATGTCCAAGTCAGATGAGGAAAGGCTTTCTGAGCCATCTTCGTTGGACTTCCAGAAGAAAATCACTCTGTCCAAACATGAGAAGCAAGATGCTAGTTCAACTTCTGTGCTCCAAAACGGGGAAACTTACAAGCGGCTTTTTGGTATGAATATATTTATATAGCTGCCTAATTCTCAAGATTATGTACAGCCTCTCTGCGCCATACTAACACGGGTAACTTTTTAGAGATGGAAAAGGAAGACGAGCTCGTGAGTCAACTCTTAAGATCTAGAAGCATGGAGGTCGAAAGGCTGAAATCTGGTCGGCAGAGTTTGATCCTTGTGGCTTCATTGCTTGATCGTATTCCTAATCTGGCTGGCTTAGCCCGGACATGCGAGGTATAACTATTACTTTCTTTGTCTTTCCTTCCATTTTGACAATCAAAGGAAGACAAGAAAAAGTTGTGTGTCTTGATATTGTTGTATCTAGTACAGTTTTAACAAGCTACTCTCTGCATATTTTGCAGATATTTAAAGCATCAGGTCTTGCTGTTGCAGATGCAAACATAATACACGACAAACAATTCCAACTAATCAGGTATGACTCATATATTCAAGTCTCTTGACTGTATATTTAAAAGACAGCACAAGTTCATGCTGTTGGATCTGCTTAGAATACAGGAGAGTGAAAATGGATCAGTAAATTTGAAGTGTGTTGCAAAGTGGCCAAGAAATTTTTAGCCGAGAATTCTAAATAAATCTGAAAACATGAACCCATCACATTAACTCCTGAATTATAAGAATGTTACCCTTGAGAGTCCATTTACAAGAGTTTTTCTTGTCTGCACTCTGCAGTGTGACTGCTGAGAAATGGGTTCCAATTATGGAAGTCCCCGTGAACAGTTTAAAATTGTTCTTGGAGAAAAAGAAACGAGAAGGCTTCTCAATCTTGGGACTGGAGCAAACAGCTAACAGTGTTTCACTGGACAAATATCAATTCCCAAAGAAGACGGTAATAAGTTCAATAAGGGCACAACAAAGAAGAAACGTTTTCTTTTTCCCCTGACTTTACCTACCCACGGAACTAACTGGATCTTGTTGGTCTCTGTTGTTTAGGTTTTGGTGCTGGGTCGTGAAAAGGAAGGCATACCTGTGGATATAATCCATGTACTGGACGCTTGTGTCGAGATCCCACAACTTGGAGTTGTTAGGTCTCTCAACGTTCATGTCAGTGGTGCCATTGCTCTATGGGAATACACTCGCCAGCAACGCATTCAATAGTTCAAATTTTTCTCTGCTTGTGAGTACTTGGAGGTCAAGTATTGCCTGAGTAAACATCTTAAAACCTCTTGATATTACATTTGCTAATAATTACAATTTCCCTTGTTTTGAACCCAATTATGATGAACTCAATGATAGAGATTTGAATCAGTCATGCCTGAGAAAACAGACTCTCCATCGAAATCGGCCCTGTTATCTCATCTCCTATTGTCAAAAAGGTAAATACGTCTTATTGCGTTTTCTGTGCATAATCACTGGGTCGTAAAGTTTTGTGCTTTTTTTTAGCTTAGTGTGTGTGTGTGTGTAATCTTAACATCTCGACATCACAACATGTCAACTTGAACCATTTCTTTAAGCTTTTGACTAATTATTACAGTAAAAAAAGAAAAGTAAGAATCTTTGTTGTGAAGTTTCACTTCTTTGAACCCAATGATATTAGATGATACTAGATGATATTCTATATATTTATCGAATTCACAACAGTTGACATATTAATTTGATTGACACCCCATGATATATGTATGTGTGTACAGTATAATCCTTGGCTAAAATTCTCACAATCACTCTTTGGCTTCATAACATGATTATTGGATTCGTTGTCATCTTCTCGTTTGATCAGTACATAAAAGCCACTGTGGCAAAGAATAAATTTTGATTTCTAATACCAAAACTATTTTTTAAACCTTTATGATACGCTTTTAAGACTGAGTAATATATATTCGCGCCTCTAGATTTAGGCCATGAATGTTTGCATGATTTTTAGATTTTTGATTATGGTTTTTGACTTTTAGTTTTTAGTTTTTAGATTTTGAGCTTTTGATTTTTGATTTTTCTGTAGATTTGTGAAATTTGCAACAAAAAAAAGTGAACAATCTCTTGATGGGAAAAACACAAGAAATAAAGATTCTAGTTTTTACGTAGAAAGATAAAATCTATAGAAAAACTAGTTTCCTAAAAATGGAAAATCATTTTTACCAAAATCTTCGGGATAATAAATTGGTTTTTTAAAATACAAAAATCAAAAATTATTTCAAAAACCACAAACATTAAAGGTAATTTCATAATTTACCAATTTTTTGTTTTATTTTTCAACATCAAAATTCAAATTCAAATTCGTTCTACTCAATCATAACATTTTCTGAAATTCTAGCTCTACTCTAACCAGTGATGATCTCGGCAATGGAACTACTCTGGCCAATGATGATTCACACATTATAATTCTAATTTGGAAGGAGCATGATCTCTACTGCATTTGTGGACAAATATTACATGTGCATTTCCATACAGTAAAATTCAAAATTTGCTATGCTATTGATGTTTTCTAAAATCCTAGCTCTATTCTGGCCAATGATTATGTTGACAATGAATTTCGGTAACTTACTCGGATTCATTTTTGTATATTGAAAACGTGAGCCTTTGATAAACTTTTTTGATATGACTTTAGTATCGAATTTGATGTTTCCAATCGTTGTTGTTGTAAGATCTCGACGAAATCGCTTGGCTTGGTTTCCATGAGCATGTTTTGGGCATTTTTTTATTTTTTTTTTAACATAATTTTTTGAGTATTCAAACAAATAAAGCACCAAATGGGCACATGCAAGAGTAGAAATTTAGAACCCACAAAATCAAAATTCGAAAATAGAAGTATAGTGAGTGTAAATCGATCACTTACATAGCAATATCTAGAAATCTGGAAGAAAGAGAGAATTTTGAGTGGCTACAAATAAGCAATTTCTTAACAATATCTAAAAAACCAAAGAGTTTCCTAGGACTCTCAAAACTTGAAGTCTTTTTCATAAAGTAAATCCCTTAAGAACCACGTCACATGAGCATGTTAGTAAAAATCACGATGAGAATCTCGCTGTAGAGCTAGAAAAATCTTGAAACCTCTAAAATAGAGGTAATCAAGAGTTGGTACATAATTAATGTCACCTGAGATGAGGAACACGTAACCTGGAGGTTTGTAGTCTATAGCATGACCCATCAAAGCCAGTATCATTTGAGTGTCTGACATCTCAGATGTTTTTTTGTTTGCAGTTGATTTGGCGGTGTATTCTTCATACATGAATAGTAGTAAACCTTTCTCTTCTCTGTACATTAGTACAGACATGATCAATGTCTGTTCGTTGGTCACCCGAGAAAAGATCTTTATTCCTTACAGCCACAATCTTCACAACTTCTAAAGTTGGATCAAAATTTTAAGGGCCCTCTCGATGTTATGTTTCAATACTGTGAGATCATAAGTTGGAGGCGCAAATGAATCATTCAAATCCCAAAATACATAAACATGTTTGTCTCTCTCTCTGGAAGTAATAGCTAAGTTGTTATTTATCCAATCTTGTTGCGCTTGAGTTAATCTCAACTGGCTAAATGGTTTTGGCCAGTTTGAGTTGCTGATATGTTCCACCATCCATTTAGGAGAAGAAGGATTCCTCATCGTAGGAGAAGAAGATGAGGCAAGGGATACTGTTTTGGGCATTTAACTTTGTAACTATACTTTGATTGACTGATATACTTATTTGTATGTATCAACATTCATATTTGCACTCCCCTATACTTTGTTTTCTTTTTTTTAGATTTATTGATTTTAGATGATTTAGTTAAAGATAACAATTTATAAAAATATCATACACACGATTTATTGGATTTCATAGTTTATTGGTAAGAAATAGTTACTACCAAAATTTCGACATTTGATGGTGATGGGCCGCAAAGGCCCAATGCTACCTCACATATCAAATCGAAATTTATTAAGGTCAAACTTTTTCCCTTTTTTGTGTTTCAAACTTTAAATTTCCAATCTAGTGGGACCCCCACAATCCAAAATTCGAAACCTAGCCAAGCGAGCGCGAGATTCAAAAATTAAATAAAACACGCAGATCAATGGAAACTGAATCACACGCGCCACTCTCTCTCCTCTCTCTGCCAAAACTCTGGGCTCCGTGAAAGAAAGCCACTCTCTGTCGCTCTCTCTGCCTTTGAATCCTTTCTTTTTGTTTCCTCTCAACCACCTGAGAAATTTTCCATCATTTTCTCGGAAACCAAAACAGAAAACTGAACCGCATCAACTGTTGTTATCTTCATGGCTTATCACTCTTTCCGCTCACCACCTTACTCGTGAAAGCTTCAGAGTAATGCTTCTTCGCTATTCTCTTAGAATTTTTCATTTAATTGCTTTCACTTCCTCTGCATTTTGCTTTGGTAATATCTTCCCTGAGAAAGGAGTAATGCCAGATTGAAGTCTTCGTTTAGTTAGATTAGCTTTTATTTTTGGTAACAATATCTTCTTCTTTCCAATTTAACACTGCTCTGATCCTATTTTACTGCGAAATTACTAAATTCCTTTTCAGAAGTTGCGATCTGCTCGTCCTTATTGTGAAATATATTTCACGAAATCATATGATTCGGCTTATCTAGATTTAGTGATGATGCGAGAGAGTTTTTTTTTGTTGAATTTGCTTCACTTCACCAAATCCCTCACTTACATGTTTTCTTCTGACGATATTTTACAACCTCAGAGCCTCAATTCTCGTTACCTTCTCGCAGGTGTTGGGATTTCAAAGTAGCAGATCTTTGAGAGCTCAAAAACCAATGGTGTAAATAGAGAAGCGGAAGGAGGCTGATGATGAAGACAACCAACATGCAAGCACGAGGGAGAGGAGGAAACATCAAGGCGGCTAATCCACAACAGGTGATCTTCGAGCTAAAGAAGAAAGTCGTCACTGCCTTGAACAAGCTAGCGGATAGAGATACACATCAGAGAGGAGTTGATGAGCTCGAGAAAACAGTTGAGCATCTTGCACAGGACAAGATCTCGTGTTTTCTCTCCTGTATACTGGACACTGATTCAGAGCAGAAGAGTGCTGTTCGCAAAGAGTGTATCAGGTTAATGGCTACTTTAGCTAGGTTTCATCAAGGGCTTGTTGTGCCACATCTCGCTAAGATGGTCTCGAGCATCGTCAAGCGGCTCAAGGATCCGGATACTGTTGTGAGAGATGCGTGTATTGAGACAATGGGTGTTTTGGCTTCGAAAATGAGCTGCTATGAAGACAACGACTATGGGGTTTTCGTTTCCTTGGTGAAACCGCTTTTCGAAGCCATTGGTGACCAGAATAAGTACGTGCAGTCAGGTGCAGCATTGTGCTTGTCAAGAGTGATTGATAGCAGTCCTGAATCTCCAGCTGCGATTATACAACGCATGCTTACGCGAACCGTAAAGCTGCTTAATAGCCCACATTTCATTGCCAAACCAGCAGTTATTGAGCTTAACAGAAGTATCATTCTTGTAAGTTTTGACTCTGTTGCTACTTTTCTCTAGTGATATTATTTAGATGTGGTTGTATAACGAAAATGGGAAATTGACTCTATTCCAGGCCGGTGGGGCAACAACAAAGAGTGTGCTTTCCTCAGCAATGAGTAGCTTTCAAGATGCCCTTAAGAATAAAGACTGGACAACTCGTAAGGCAGCCTCTATAGCACTTATGGAGATAGCTGCTACTGGTGAAAAGTTTCTTGGGCCTCTCAAGGCTTCTTGCATCTGCTCTCTAGAATCATGTCGCTTTGACAAAGTTCGAACTCTTTTCTAAAATTCACTCTCTTACAGATGGGATAATATTTGGAGTGAAATATCTAACTTTGGGCTTTTATATGTTAGGTGAAACCAGTGAGGGACTCAGTTATCCTTGCCTTGCAATATTGGAAAGGTGTCCCTGGTTCTGATAGTCCAGAGCCATCTGAAACTGGATCCTCTGCAAAAGGTGAGTTTGAGTTAAGCAAATGGTTTCTTTCTTCAAATCTTTTGCATCTTTTTATATCTGTTTGCATTTCATAGACTCATAGATGCTCTTTCTGTTAAATCTGTTTTGTAATCGCAGAAAGCTATAATGGAGCTCGAGAGAGTAGTGAGCTTTTCAGCACCAGTGACTCTAGATTGAAGGATGTTACATCTAACAAGTATGTAACAGATTTGGCAAGGAAAAAGGTCCCGGTTACTGCCAGGAAGGCACCTACACGTTACAATGACGAACCTCGAAAGACTAAACAAGATAACTGGCATATCGAAATCGCAGTCCCGGAATCTCCTGTTGTCTCCAAGGTTTATCTTCACACTGAAGAATCAGAGGGCAGTTGCATCACCAAAACATTTGCAGAATCGAGAAACACGCCAGAAGTGAAATATGAGTACATTCCAGTGGACGATAAGGCAGATTGCTATGTAACTGACGCTGTGAATGAAAACGATGATATCAAGTCAGTAACAGTTTCGTCCAACAGTTTCCTTGCAAGTGGTAGAGTGAATCTAGCCATAATGACTAAGCAGTTCGCAGCTGAAGAAACTGATTCTGAGGAGCAGCAATTCTCAACCAAAGTGAAGAATCGTACAAGCCTTGACTCTACTTTAACAGTGTCTAGCCCTCGAACCATTCATGACTGCTGTGCTCAGACTGCAAATGAGATGGCTTCTGTTCGTAAACAGCTCTCAGATATTGAGAATAAACAATCACAACTGATAGATCAGCTCCAGGTCAGTGAATTTTCTATCACAATCTATTGTCTTTACCCCAGTTTGCAATTTTATAGATGCTCTACTCAACCTTTGTATCTTCAGGATTCAAGTTATCTATAACTCAGCATGATTTTTGAACTTTCTTACTCAATGAGTGCAACCTAATAACCTTCTTCCTTCTTCTGTCTTTTATAGGCCTTTTCAACAGGAATAATGAACAACTTTTCAGCTCTTCAATCCAAGGTCTTAAGCTTAGAATATGCAGTGGAGGGGATAGCTCAAAACTTTGTCCTGCATTCAGATATATCAAACTCCAATTTTGTGAAGCAAAACCAAGGTCGTACTGTGTCACCGAGGCTCTCTAGTTGCACTTCGAGAAATTCTGCGGATATCCACAATCGGCAATCTACATTATCATCTTCCAGGTACTCAACGACTAGGGAGAACAAAACACATGGAAGAAGCAAACTAAATGAGTCACAGGGTATAGAGAAAACGCGGAGTAACGCTTTTGGTAAGACTGGTCAACAACATGGTAGAGAAGACATTTGGAACAACATTGGACATGGAAGACAAACATCGATCCAGACCCGGAAAAGTTCTGAAAGCATAGGACAGCATTACGCAGAGGTGATGAGTGGGTCGAGGAAACCTGTGAATCCATGTGAAGATTTGGTTGAATCAGAGTATCTAGAAGTGCTTTCTGCTGGTGATGAGATAGCACTTGTCGAGCTTCTTGACAGAACCGGCCCTGTGCTGGACAGTTTGTCATCAAGTACCGTAAATGAGCTTCTCAGTATACTTCTCTCTTACCTCCTCGAACGAAGATTCATGAATTCAATACTTCCTTGGTTACATCAGGCAAGTTTGTCGACTTGAAATTATGCTTAGATTGTTACTACTTAGTACTGGAAACTGTTTACTGAGGATCCACTATTTTACTCTTCTAATAGGTAGCTGACTTGAGCACTACAAATGGAGCTAATTATCTGATTCCATCTGCGAGAAAGAGAGCTCAAGTGTTGTCTGCAATTCAGGAGACTTCAGGCATGGATTTTTCAAATCTTGCTGAGAGAAGAGCGGTTACTCAAATAGCAATGAAGTTGCGCAAACTATGGGGTAAGCTAAAATCTTTACTTGCGCTAGTACTTACATGGTCTAAGAATCATGTTGCTTAAATGTTTTATAAACAATGCAACATTGACCTTTAACTTTTAAACTAAAAAAACTTCGTATGATCAATATGCATATCATGTGTGATTGTGTTGCAGCAAGTAATCTTTTACTTTAAATAAAAGTCTTGTCTTATGTTGTTTTCGCAGGAAAATGCTCCTAATCATTAGGTGTGCTGAAGTAGACAGGACATTGCTACAAGCTGGTGTCTTCCACGGAAAGCGTTGTTACTTGGATTGAGATTCGCAATGCGATTTGATTGAAGAACGATTTCGATTTTTAAAGAATCTTGTTGCAACAGATTGTTTCGATCGTTTTTATCATTGTCTAGTGTTTGTTGTTGTTCTTGATCGTTGGTTTCATGATTTGATTCGCGTAGTAAAAAGAAAGGTGAGAAAAACGCACTGAGAGAGATATCTGAGTGCTAATTTACAACGAAAATTGCAACAATGACTTGTATCATATATTTCTACGGTTTCATTTGACTCTGTATATCAGAAACTAGTGAGAAATTGACCCCAAAAAAGAAAAGATACTACAGAGAAATGCTAGAATACTGAATGATTATATATTTGTAAGGTGAGATCGAGATTATTAAATTGTCTTAGATAAATGGAAATTGTTGCCTGTAGTAGCCGTGTTATTATTAGGTTTTGTAATTGTAACTTGTAAGCACGACCGAGGCATGACCTTTTTGTATTTCACCTCAGATTGCCCTTCCAATATTCATCGCCTTTTATCAGCCGTCCGATCTTCCTCCATCATTTTGCCTACACATTATTTCATTATTACATTAGTTTCGTTTCTTTTGTTTTTTTAATGGATTAATGAGATGTGATTGGCATCTGAATTTTAAATTTGGTAAGACTACTCACATTCAAATTCGATCTCTGACACTTTCTTCAATATTCGTTACTAATTTTTGAGTCTTGTAAATTCATCATTCTCATTATTATCTTGCATTGCAGTATACAACACAACTCTATTCCAAAAAAAAAAAATTGTAAAATCTAATTTCGCCATTTTATCATTTTAGTGATCCTTTTATGTTCGTAGTTGCAATTTGTTCATCAAAACTAGTTTTTTTTTGTGTGTAACACTTACGTATTTAAAAGGAAAAACAAATTCATAGCTACTTGAAATTGTTACAAATCAAAAGGCATCAAATCATATTAAATGTATTTACAAATAAAATAATGCTATTTTATTTGCAAACCTAGTATTTGCGTTTAAGATACAATTTTTCGAATAGTTTAGGTGACTTTACTTGTTTCGGTTTTTTATTTTGCGTTAAAATGAGTTTATTTTACTATACTTTTATACAAAAACATAGTCACATGATGTTAAAAAACATAGTCCCAATATAAACATACATTAGATCAACCAAATTGGAAAATACGTGTATCAAGAAAACAAAACTGTGTCTGTATCGAGTAAACCACGACTTGCTAAAGTATGAGTCGATATTACATCGAGAAAAATACTTTGAATTATGAAGCCAAAAGCTTACCTCGTTGCATATATCTACTCCAATGTCCATATCTTGAATTATTAATATATTGATCAAAACCTTTACAATCTCTTTCAAAGTTTACCGAAGAGAAAACCCAAATCTCCATACGCGTTAAAACCAAAAAGAAGAAACAAAATTCTAACATTTCAATACAAACCATTGTAAAATCTAAAAGAAATCGGAATATTATAATGAAAACACGTAAAAATGTATGGTTTTTGTCCCGCATTAGTTCCCTAATCACATTCACAATCACCAAAGAAAAATAAGAAAGTGGGACCCATTTTTAATTTCTTTTAGCTAAATCAAACGGTGGAGAGAGGAGTTGTGTCCATGATCGTCATGGTGGACGGTGACTTTACATGCCATTTCTTTCTTTTTTACTTTGATTTTCTTTTATGAACAAAAAAAAAGAAGTTAGCAACAAAAAATATCAATAATTTTGGTCTTCTGTTGTTAGAAAAAAAAAGGGATCCCACTATCCCAAATTTAACATCGTGTCATCATACATGTATATGGATAAGCAGAAAAAAACGACAAAAAGCAGAAAAAAAAACATAATCTCTCATCTAGTCGTTGACAAAAAAAATTATATTTTTAAAGTTAAGAAAAACTAGAATCGATTATAACATTGTTTAACGAATTCAAACGCATAAATTTAACTCTCAACGGAACTTGTAAGTTGTAACCTATGTTTGTACTGATATTGTGATATAACTTGAGTTCGAATCCAAGTATCCAACGGTGAGCATATGTAAATTATTGATGACTAACATTTTTTTTTATATAGATGACTAACATATCAAACTCTTATTTTAATACTTTTTTAATTAGGCGACCATATAAAACTCTTTTGAGTATTATGGTAAATACCCGTATAATTTCACATAGTGTCGACAAAAAAGAATTGCATACACTTTGCAGCTATTTTGATAGTGAGATTTTCTTCTTTTTTTTGGTCGTCTGATAGGAAGATTTTAAAGAGAGAGTTAAATAAGGCATTTACATATACAAGACTAAGTATCCGAAATAAAGAGCGTATCTATCTAATGTTATAGTTTTTTTGGAACCAATAATTTTAGGACAAAAACGGTATGATTTTTTCGTTCTTCCTCATTTTATCTTATCATAGTCATTAATACTTAAGTGTCGTTATTATATTTATTATATACGTTGGAAATATCAGAAGAAAAACGAAACAAGAAAGAAAAGTCTAAAGTCAACAAGAAAGAAGGAACCATAAGGTATAAGCAATAATATTCCTCCAACTTCTTCTGATCATTTTACTAACCTTTATAGACCCAAAATTTTAGTATATATTATCTGATAGATCCAATTTTTTTTCCTCAACCATTTGTAGTTTTCTGAAAAAAATAAAATCGAAAACGGATTCAAAATTTTTATGAAAGAAAGCTAAAAATTTACTTCATAATAATACAAATAAAAAAAAAGGTGAAAGAGGCCATTTTATGTCGACAAAAAAAGCCATTTTATATATACAAACACTTTCTCGCTCTAAAACCCTCAGTTTCTCTCTCTTTCCCTTTTTCACAGCCATTTATTAGATTCCTCTCTCAATTAGTCTCTTCTCTTTTCTATTGGATTGTATTAGACTGATAGCTCAAGGAACCGAAAAAAAGAGAAAGAAAGGATAACAAAAATATCTCCTGAAAAAATTTCTCAGCCTTGGTTTGATTTTTAATTTTCAGGAACTGTTTTGGAGTTTTTTCCAGATTTTTTTTCTGTATTTCCTCGTAAAAAAATTTTCTGGGTTTTTTTTTTCTTTCCTGGCTTCAATTTGTTCATATGCAGAAAATCCTTTTTCTGGGTTTTTACCTTTGCCAGAGAGAAGCCTCTTAATAGTTAATAGTCTTGTTTTTGTATATTCCAATTATAGCTCAATATTGAACATAATTTATAAACTTAAATTTCTTTCCAAAAAGTCTCTTCTTTTGTCATTATAAATTGAAACCTTCCTTTGAAATTATATTTTCATCTTTGAAAAAGAAAAAAGAGAGAGAGATTATGGGGAAGCAAGGGCCTTGCTGTCACTGTGGAGTTACAAGTGAGTTCTTGTATCTCCAATTTCGATTTGATGATGAGAAAATTTGTATGAATTATTCACTTTTTTTTTATGGGTGAGATGCCCTTTTTTGGGAAAATGATTTGATTACAGGTTTTTATATGCTTTCTTCAAAAAAAAAAAAAATTGTAACAATTATTGAATAGATACAGCAAAGACTTCCTGGACTCGAGAACATAAATGAGCATTTGGGAATCATGTTTCTTTAACAATATGTATTTGGTTTGTTTTTTTTTTGGGTTCAATGATCTTTAGAACAACACTTCGTCTCTGTTTGTGAGTCACTCTGATTGGAATTAATGGATTAGGCAACAAATACACGATTTTGGATCTGAATTTGTGTTTATAAGTCTCAGTTTTGGTAAAAAAAGCAATCAAATTTTGTTTAGGATTAGCTCTGGTTGATGTTTAAGACTTTAGCATGTTTGGTATTTGATTAGAGATCATTGTTATACCTGGATATGGAAAATGAAAAATGTGTGATTGTTCTGGAGTCTGAATTTGCTGTATAAGACACAGTTCAAGTGTTGCCTGATGAAGAAATCTTAATTTAAAATCTCGCAGCTTGCAAAATTTTGAGACATTTTGTTCTTCCATTGAAACAGGCACACCTCTGTGGCGAAATGGGCCACCAGAGAAGCCGGTATTGTGCAATGCGTGTGGATCGCGTTGGAGAACAAAGGGAACACTTGTGAACTACACACCGCTTCATTCTCGTGCTGATTGTGATGACCATGAGGATCATCAGAGGTATCAAAGAATGAAGAGCATTTCTATGAGTAGCAAGAACAAAGAGACGAAGATGCTCAAGAGGAAAGCAATTCAAGAAAACATCTCCATTAAAAGACCTCTCTTGGAATTCAACTATGGTTTGAAGAAGGCTGTGGTAGAGGAGGATGCTAGTAACAGGTCGAGTTCTGGTTCGGCTATATCAAACTCTGAGAGCTGTGCACAGTTTAGTAGTGCAGATGGGAGCGAGTTAACAGGTTTTGATTACTTTATTGTTCTTCGTTTTGAGCAACGATTTGACGTTTAAAGAGATGCAGCTCATTAGTGTCTGTGTGAACTTTGTTTTTTCTTTCAGGTCCATCTCAATCTAACACATGGGACACGACTGTTCCTAGCAAGAGGAGGACGTGTGTAGGCCGTCCAAAGTCCTCTTCTGTTGAAAAGCTCAGAAAGGACCTTTACAATATTCTACAAGAGCAGCAATCGTCGTGTCTCTCAGTTTCATCAGAGGAAGATCTTCTTTTTGGGAATGAAATGTCAATGGTCTCTGTTGAGATTGGGCATGGGAGTGTTCTGATGAGGAATCCCCACTCGTTTGCTCGGGAAGAGGAGTCTGAAGCCAGCTCGCTCTCTTCGGTTGAGAACAAGTCATCCATCAGTGAGGCATACTCACATTCTGTGAAGCGTGCTGAGATTGGAGGAGAGAGAGGTTCAGACTCTTTTGGACAAGCAATAAAGCATGAGCAACTCAGAAGGTGAAATATTCTCAATATATCTTCAAAGAAGTTTTGCACATTAGCTCTCAACTTACTCAGTCAGGAAAGATAATAAATTGATTTTATTTTTATAAATTGTTGGCAGAACCAAGTCTCAAAGTGGAAGAGTGCATGTCCTGGGGAGCCATAGTTCACCACTCTGTAGCATTGATTTGAAGGTAAGTTTCAAGCATTTCTGTTAATATGTCAACTATCTGCATTTAGAAGTCTCAATTGTGACAATGACCTTGAAAAATATACTCTGTTGCAGGAAGTTTTCAACTTTGATGAGTTCATAGAGCAATTCACAGAGGAAGAACAGAAGAAACTGATGAAATTACTTCCTCAGATTGATTCTATTAACCTTCCTGATAGGTTCGAACTGCATTGCATTTTGAAAAACAACGAAACAAGACCGAACAAAATTTCTGATCCTTCATCTTTTTGCTTTTGCAGCCTCAGAATGATGTTCGAAAGTGCTCAGTTCAAAGAGAACTTCTCTTTGCTTCAGAAACTTATTGCAGATGGTGTCTTTGAGATGCCTTCTTCCTCTGGGGCAAAACTCGAAGACATAAGGACTTTTAAGAAGCTTGCTTTGTCTGATTTTAACAAATCTCGTTTGGTGGAAGGCTATAACCTGCTGAAGGTTCGCCGTGTTCTTATTGAAACATTGACATTAAAACAACTTTTGCCAGAGATTCATGGATATATTTTCGCAGGAACAGGAAAAAGGGTCTGGAGATTCTGCCACTACAACTTCAAGAATCTCGAACCCAAATGTACCTAAAAATATTATAACCATCAAGAGACGCTGTGAAAATCAAACTCAATTAAAGTCAGGTCAGTCTTAAGGACGTTTTCATCAGTCTTGTTGATTCTGCAATCAATCTTCCTGTTTTGTTGATTTTCTTGTGTTGGTTACAGAGTCAAGAGGGCTTATGAGGAGCCCCAAAAGTGTAACGAAGATGAAAACAAGCCATGAAAGCAAAGTTATGACAGAGAACAACGTCTCATGCTTCAGCCCAAAAAGCTTAGTGTTTGCGCAAGAAAGTGGTTCTACAGTGTTTGGCTATGAAGGTAGTTGCAGTTCCGATCAAGACCTCCTTCTTCTGGATTTGCCGTCAAATGGGTCGTTTCCTCAAGCAGAGCTTCTTCACCAACTCTGAGTAGAAAAAGCTTCAAACTTCATAGTGCTTCTCAGTGGTAAAGGAAGGATTTTTAAGCTTGCTCTCTCTCTCTCTCTCTTGCTTGATTGAGATTGATGAGAGAGACTCTTAGGCTTTCTGAGAAAACGACCAAATGAGGTTTCTGCTTTAGAAATTGGTATTTGCAGACATAAAAGGGACTTTTTTTTTGAGTCTTGGACTTCTCTTTGGTGGTTAGTTAAGTTTATAAGGTGGGTCTTATAATACATATCGTATTATAAGGTGGGTCTTATCTATACATAATGGTGGGTCTTATCTATAAATATATATATACATAATGCCTCTTCTCGTTCAATGAATTAATGAAACCTTTTAAATTGAAAGTTCCATTTTTTTGGAATTTTAGTTTCTTTTCGTGGAAGTGTAGTTTCTTCTTCTTTTTTTTTGGTAAAGGATATATGAGAAGATACTGTAATATCATGTATATCCCCAAATGCAAAAAATAGAGTAAATGAATGGGTACTGTTATATATTTTTGGGATTAATGCAAATATTAGTCCAAATTAGAAGAGAAAATTTGATCTTCATGCTTCCTTTACAAAAAATTTATCCACCTCTATCTTCTAATTTAAAGAGGAAGAAATAAATCAAATGATAGTAGATCTAAGAAACTCTATAAATTAATATTCGATAAATTAATAATTTTTCATGGTCTCGAGTTGAATCAGTTCAAGATACAATTCAATAAGATAATAAGATAATAACTTTAACAAAACCCTTCTATAAATATTTGATCTCATTAGTATTTTAAATTAATAATTACCATAAACAAAATTTGATATAAACATATAAGTGAGATATTCTACTAAAATATGAGTTTAGTGATGTTTTAATTTTTTTTTTAAATGAAAATCTTCTTAGAACTTATTTTAGTTTTAGAAATATTTTTTTAAAGAATAAAAATTATATCAAAAAATCTCTTTTATAATTAATAAAAAATAAAAAATATTTTTTCTTTGAAATCTATAAATTAATAACTCTATATATTAATAAAATATCAAAATCCCAATACTATTAATTTATAGAGTGTTTACTGTATTTGGTATGACTTCCAATTTCTATATTAAAAGTTGAAAAGGAAAAACTGATATTAGAAGTAGGAGATGATACTATTTATTATATAATTTATTATAAACAGTCCCATTAGTCATTTTCGAAGTTTATATGCGTATAAATAATTAGAGTTTTTCTTTACCTATTTTTTTAAAAAAAATTATTGAATTATATGTTTACAAACTTGATAACATATGGTGTAACCTTTTTGGTCCACGGAGATATTCCGAACTTTGGGATTACAAAACAAAAGAAAGGCCACAAGAGATTCGGGTGTAGAAAGGAAGAAAAGGAGAAATTAATGGTAAGAATCAGATTTTTCATTTTTATATTTCCGTAGCTATATATAAATTAATTATTCTAATAATCCTAAATTAGGTCTTAGAAGTCTGGGCCTTGCGTATCAAAGAAGTATTGATTCATTTTGAGCAATGGATGAGAGCGAGGATTGGAGGTGTCAAATGGGCGGGTTGTCCATGGGCGACCCATGTCCAAATGATAATGGGCGGGTTATGGACACACCCAAATACTAGTGGATCTAAATGGTAATGGTCCAGTTTTGTCCAGAAAATAAATGGGTCAAACCATATGGTTTTTGGTCGGCCCAATGGTCTAAAAATTTAGGTCAAATCAAATTGAGATTTTTTTTTCTTCTTAAATTATTTTAATTATTATTCTTCTACTAGTGGAAATTATTCATTTTTAAAAATTAATTTTGTTATATTAGAGAATGTATAAACTAAAATTTTTATAATGCATAATGATAGATATAAAAGATATATTGGTAGACAGCTCTTTGCATCACGGTTCAAAGAGCTGTCTCGAATAACTTATGATGTGCTTTGTATTCCCATAATAACAACAGTGTCTTCTGAGTCATCATTCAGTGATGGGAGTCGAGTTCTTAACAAGTATAGGAGCCGGCTTCTTCCATCAAATGTCCAAGCTCTGATTTGTACAAGAAATTGGCTGCATGGCTTTGAAGTAATCAGTAAGTTTACATCAATCTTGAGTTAATATCATAATCACTTTCTGTCGTATGTTTGTATTGTTGTTTTGTTTTTGATTATTATTTTTTATACATTGATTATATGAAATTGCTGATGTTTTATGATAGGTGATTCCGAGTTTGAGCCATATGAAGAAAATGAAGAAGATGATGGTAAAAGTGGAAGAAAGAAGATCCGAACAACATATAAGCTATTAATGTCTCTATCTCCCTTCTATCTTTTTTATGACAATGTTTTAGTTGAACTTGTATCTTGTAAGCTGAATCTCGTTTTTTGCTGCAATTAAGTTAAACTCATGTTTTGAATCTCTTCATTTTGATACAATTAAGTAATTTTGAAAATGGTCTTATTTAGACTTATGGACAGCCCAACTAATCATGGTCTAAAATGGATTTGGTCTTATTTGGACATGGTCTTATTTGGGTGTGGACCATTAATGTTCAGAAAATAAAAATGTCCATTTAGACAAGCCCATTTGGACATGGACAACCCAATTGACACTGCTAGCGAGGATAAATCTAAGATGATTGCCAAATGGTCAGAGCTTTGTGAGGACTTGCTACACAGTGTTCTCGAACAATTGAGTTTCACAAATTTTCAATCGAGCTAACTCAGTATGCAAAGTCGTGGAACTCTGCTTTGAGAAGCTGCGTCTTTAAAACGAAATCAGATTCCTTGGCTGAGACTCTTCCCTACAAAGGAGGAAACCAATAGCATGCAAAAGGTGTGGTCTATTTGTTCCAGATGATAAAGAAAGCTTTACAAGACTTAATTAAGATCTTGGTGTTGAATTTACACAGAGTTGTTGTCTTGCGAGTTACGGTTGCTGGCTCTTGATGCTTAACCATCTTTGCAATCTCTACATTCTCAATCCAGATTCAATCTCTATCGTTCTTAAAATTTCCAATCAGAAATGAGATCCAACCTATTTTGTCTCTGGATAGACGACATAACCAAAGAATACTTAGTTGTTTGGATATACAATTCCAACGAGTTACCAGGAAATATCATTGATTCAGTGAGACAAAGTTAGGGTGATATAATAATAAGAAGTTGTGTTCCACCTTCATAAAATCAAAATCATGATTCGAATCATTGAGACGAAGTCTAAAAGGAATAAAAACAAGAACAAGACCTAAGTCCTAGAAAGGTCAAATATATCATTCATATTAAACAAGGACCAGGTCTACATTTACCAACCGGACGCTCGATAAATCTTGAATTAATTTCTCAGAAGAATGTGCATGCCATGACTTACAGTTACAGGCTTAAGAAAGAACCAAAAAAAAAAAAAAATTCAATTCTTACAAGAACAGAGCAGACAGTAGACGATTACTACCTTTGGAGGTCGAACACGGTGGATTATGTTAACTTGAAAGTGGATGTATGATAGAGAAATTAATTTTCCATTATGTATGTTTCTATATAGAAATTAATTTCTCTTTTCCCTAAAAAAGATTGTTATGTTTCTGAGTAAACAAAATTTTCAATTGTTTTTGTGCTTCTTTTTCAAAGATTTTTTTTTCTTTCAAATAAAAATATATATTTTAAAACAATATATACTTAGAAAATATTCTCATAATTTTACCTAAATTAACTCTGAGGACTTGGGAGTCTAGGGATCTATATATAGGGATCTAAAAGCTCGAAACCAAAAAATCTTTTGCTTGTAATACAAGTTTTGATATTTTGAGCAATGGATGAGATCGAGAATAAACCTAACCGGCCTCCGATGAATCCCAAGTGGTCGGAGCTTTGTCAGGACTTGATAAGAAGTGTTTTCGAACGACTGAGTTTCACAAACTTGAATCGAGCAAAATCAGTTTGTAGGTCGTGGAACTCTGCTTCGAGGCAATGCGTCCCCAAGCGAAATCAGATTCCGTGGCTTATAATCTTCCCTCCAGAGAACCAAACCAACATCAATATCTGTGACTTATTCATTCCAGATGATGAAGACAAAGTTTACAAGACTCGAGATCTCCATGTTGGCTTTGCACAGAGTTCTTGTCTTGCGACTTACGGCAGCTGGCTCTTGATGTATGACCATCTCTGGAATCTCTACGTTCTCAATCCATTGACGCTGGAGAGGATTGATCTACCACATTCAGTCTCTATCATTCCTAAAAATTTCAAAGGAGACATGAGATCCGTACCTTGTTACATGAGATCCAAAGCTTATCTCTGGATAGACGACATAACCAAAGATTACCTGGTTATTTGGACCATTCATACCAAGATGTTTTTTATAAAGAAAGGTGATAAGAAGTGGAGAAACTGTGGTCTCCTAGGAAATTGTGAACAAATCGTCTACAATCGCAACGATCACAAGTTTTACATCACTTATAGTCTCACTAGTCAGGTCACTGTTTGGGATTTCTCTGGTGATATCCCACACAATGATGGGGATCTTCTACCTTTTGTTCCCGTATGGATTGAGGAAGTTTACTGGTATAGGCTCAGGTATTGTTACATGAGGACACAGATTGCGATCACAGTATCTGGACAAGTTCTTTGTGTTGTCTGTATCTTCTTGCAAGGCTGCGAATGGCTGTTTCCCATCTTCAAGTTAGATCCTCTGAGGCAGAGATGGGTACGAATCGATTCTTTAGGTGATGAGGCTTTAATCTTGGACATGGGTCTCACTGTTGTGGCACAAGATGTTCCAGGGATTAAGAAAAACTCCATTTATTTCAGTGGCCTCGATCATCTTAGCAAGGATCCCAACCTTGTATTTGTCTATGACCTCACCACCAAAACCAAGGAAACTTTGCCACATTGCGTTTCCTCCTCCATAGGCTTCTCTCATGCTCGATGGTTCTTCCCGGATTATACCGGGTAACTAGAGTCGTCTCTACTCCCTTTTATAACTCTTTTGTTTTTTAAAATCAACTAGTATGTTTGCTTTTTACTTTGTCCTTTTGATCGTTAGTTTTTTTTTTTATAATATTAGTTTGATAGAGAAGTTGTGTTCAACTTTCATAAAATCAAAATCGAGTTTCGAATCATTGAGACGAAGTCCAAAAGGAATAAAACAAGACCTAAATCCATATTGTGATCCTAAGTCCTATAAAAGGTCGAATATCATTCATTATCAAACAGGGACCAGGTCTACATTCATCAACCGGAAGCTCGACCAATCTTGATTTACTTTCTCAGAACAATGTGCATGCCATGACTTACAGGCTTAAAAAAAAAAAAGAAGAAAAGAAAAAACAAACAATTCTTACAAGAACAGAGCAGACAGCAGGCGATTACTACCTTTGGAGGTCGAACAGACACCAGTGGATGGTGTTCACTTGAAAGTGGATAGACGGGGAAGCTTGTCCCTCAGGTAGTAAAGCCTTGCTCTTCTCACTTTTCTGTGACTCACCACTTTTATCTCTTTGATGTTGGGAGAGTATCTGTCAAATTAAACGATTAGGAGAATCAGCACATATCAAACACGTTTCTTACATCCCAAATTGCAAGAAGTTAACAAATATATTACAAGATGTTCGAATGTTATAACATAACGAAAGATAGGAAACATGAGCAGACATGATCGTTCCCATAATGATTTAGGCTTCCATGACTGGGAAAGTAAAACAGCCACTAAGGAGTTGCTAACGTTATAGCTATGCACAAATTACTCTCGTGTAATTTAACTCAGTATCTATATATAAGCTTGGAATCATTGAAAAAGCCATGAGTCAACCTACTGCTCAGCTGCTGGTATTCCCTTTTCATTGAAAAGTTCTATGAATATATCAAAACACTTGCGAAAACTCACAACCAAAGTAGGTGTTATACCGACTGATAACTGGAGAGCGAAAAAAAAAAAACTCACATGGGAAACACGATTTCAACACCAATACCAGCAATGATTCTCCGAATACGAATGGTAGTGTGTATGCCTGCGTTTTGTCTCGACATCACTATGCCTTTGTAGATGGACAGTCTACGTCTGTTCTCAGGAACTTCCTGCAAGTGAAACACCATATCGCAATATCAAAACTTCGATTCGTTGCATAGTAACATAGAGGCTTCCAAGTACCAAGAACTTACCAATTTGATTTCTACAATATCTCCTGTCCTGATTTCTGGAACAGGTCTCACTTTCTCTGATACCTCAATTGCTCTCTGGTTCAGTATCTACAACAACAACAACATTTAATCGCATTGAGTCTTCCCAATTACTATAAAATAACTACTAATCAAGAAAGCATATCACTGAAAGTATCAGCATCAGATGGGTCTAACCAAACTATCAGAGAACAATTAATCAAGACTCATAATTTGATAACAAGGAAGTTTACTTACCCCCATTACATCTCCGAGCTTGATTCTCGGTTTCCTTGCAGGTTTGGCTTCACCAGTTTCCACTACCTCTTCTACATTACCTTCCGTATCATCAGTACCATCAACAGCTTCCACAGATTCAGATTCACCTTTAGGGTTCTCTTCTGCTCTAACGATAAACTCACGTCTCACCTTAGTATCGTTTGAGAAGCCGAGTTTCGAGCCTGGGTGGTTCAGAGAAAGCCTTGAAACCGATAGACGAGAATTCATCGAAGGTGCACATGATAGAAACGAAGAAAACCCTAAATTCTTCGATGACTGCGTAGGGTTTCTCGGTATCATATGCAATGCCTGAATCCATACCAAGTAATCCACAATAATGAATAAGCGAAATGCAAAGCTTCGTATACTACATCTGTGACTGCGTGTGAGATAGAGAAGCAACCTGAGGAAGAAGATGAGAGCTCGTCGCCATGGTTGCACTCTCGGAGATACTCGGGGAAAAGGAGGGAAGCAAGCTAGTAGAAGAAGAACCTTATCTGCTCTGCTTCCAATTTCGGCACGCGTGGGATACTCGCACGTGTGAATGATCTAATGGGCCTTTTTTAATTTAATGGGTCTTAGATATTTTATTATGGGCCTTTTGCATAATTTAATAATATGATTAATGAAAAGATTAATCAAGAGGATGCTAGTAGATTCTATGAAAATGACCAAGGCTAATGATGATTCTAACACTAACCTATAAAAAATTGAGATGACGTCGGTCACGCGCCGTCGCTTCCTACAAACCAAGCAGGTCAACGTGGCGTGACAACTGTGTTCTGCCTTTTGGCTCTACCGTAACGAGAAGGACACGTGTCACATCTTCACACATTACGTCGTCTTCTCTCTCTCTCCCGCCAACCTCTCTCTCCCTCTGGTCTATCTCTCCTCTAATCTTTTTCTCTCTCGATCAAAATTAAAATTCGTGATTATCCTGATTTCTCAATCGAGAACATGGATTTGGGTATTTGATTTTGATCAGTAGAGTTTGATTTTTTTCCCGACCCTCGATTGTTATCATTTATTTATTGAAAGCTTGTTTCGTTGAATTTTATTGGGAGAGAGAGAGTTCTTGCGAAAGATGGCGATAGGTTCAAAGAGGAAGACACCACCTGGGATTTCGCTTCTGAGGAGAATCAGAGGAAGAAATTGGAGCCCGAAGACGTTTCGTTACGCGATTCTATTGATTACTTTCATCGCGTACGCATGTTACCACGCCTCTCGGAAACCAAGCAGCATAGTGAAAAGCGTTTTACACCCAGACTCGAGCACTGAGCCACCTCGAGAACACATCAACAGGTATCCTTGGCCTTTGGGCAACGTTTTCGTTAAGGAAGAGAATCATCAGGCCCTGTTGCATCGCAAGTCCAAAGGGTGGGAGCCGTTTAACGGGAAAGACGGTACGTCGAGGTTGGGAGAGATCGATGTGGCGTTTCTCGCTTGTTACTCTTTGGGAATGTATGTAGCTGGACATTTGGGTGATAGTTTGGATCTGAGATTGTTTCTGACTTGGGGAATGATTGGGAGTGGGTTTTTCGTTGGGCTGTTTGGGATGGGTTATTTCTGGAACATACATGCGTTTTGGTTCTTTCTGGTGATGCAAATGGCGGCTGGGTTGTTTCAGGCGACAGGATGGCCATCGGTTGTGGCTGTGGTCGGGAATTGGTTTGGGAAAAGGAAGAGAGGGCTTATCATGGGGATTTGGAATGCTCATACTTCCGTTGGGAACATTTGTGGTTCGTTGATAGCTGCTGGTGTTCTTGAGTATGGTTGGGGTTGGTCGTTTATAGCTCCTGGTTTTGTCATGTCTTTAGGAGGAGTTCTTGTTTACTTGTTCTTGGCTGCGTACCCTGAGGATGTTGGGTTTCCAGATATTAATTCTAATTCAGGTAAGTTCATTAAGAGGAACCGAAACATTGATGAAGAAGAAGAAGAAGAAGCAGATGTTGAAGAAGAAGGAGAGGGTTCAGGTTCAGGTTCAGGGGCAGGGGCAGGGTATGAGAATAAAAGAAGTGTTGGGCTTTTGCAAGCTTGTATGATTCCTGGTGTTATACCGTTTGCGCTGTGTCTCTTCTTCTCGAAGCTGGTCGCGTACACTTTCTTGTACTGGTTACCGTTTTATCTGAGCCAAACAAGTAAGTTTTGATAGTCAGTTTCGACACTATATAACCAGTTTTGGAAAATGTTCTTACTTGGTTTTGTTTGCAGCTATTGGTGGAGAGTATATGTCTGTGAAAACAGCAGGAAACCTCTCCACGCTATTTGATGTTGGAGGCATTGTAGGAGGGATTCTTGCTGGTTACATTTCAGACAAGTTCAAAGCAAGAGCAACAACTGCAGCAACGTTTATGTACGCTGCGATTCCGGCGATGTTGTTGTATCATTCCTATGGAGGTGTCTCTCAGACAGTGAACATCCTCCTCATGATGGTTGCTGGTTTGTTTGTCAATGGACCATACGCACTCATCACAACTGCAGTATCGGCGGATCTCGGAACGCACAAGTCTTTACAAGGGGATTCGAGGGCGCTTGCGACTGTGACTGCGATTATTGATGGGACTGGATCTGCTGGTGCGGCTTTAGGTCCTCTTTTGACAGGGTTTCTTTCGACTTTGGGTTGGCAAGCTGTGTTCTATATGTTGGTCGTTGGGGCTCTTTGTGCTGGGTTGCTCTTGACCCGTCTGGTTATTGCTGAAATTAGAGAGAAGCTTGGATATGTTGATGAAGGTAATATAACCAAGTCTCGTTTTTTTTTATAATCAGATTGAATATGCAGAAATATTGATCTGACTTAATATTCGTTTGTTATGCAGTTCCAGCGTCTGAACCACTCTTAAACGAGAGAAGATGATGGAGAATAGAGCGGCTGGAGAGTCCGTGTGAACAGGATCCATTGTTTGCGCAAGAGTTTTGTTCTGTTATATAAGTAAGAGTTTGCGGAAAACTTACAGTTCGTTGTATTCTGTGTTTTGTCTGATACTGTGAAATTTTTATCTCATAACAATTGAAGAAAATTGGCTTTTTCAGCATTCTTCATCTATTTCTTCTCTGTTTTCTACGACACTCGAAGCAATCTTTGCATGTTGTTTCGTACTTGTAAGAGGAAACTGACTTGATTTTGTCGGGTGAAACTTTAAGATCTTCTATGATTATCCGTCGAAGCTTTTCGTTCTCTTCCATTAGTTCGTTAACGAGTTTTTGATGTTTCAGCACCTACATAATCAAATCTCGTTCATATATAACCATGGACGAACAAAATCAAATCAAATGTAACAGGAAGGCAAGAAACTTACCATCTGAAGTATCAAGCTCTCTGACTCTAATTGTGTTACCTATCAATGTCATGAAACAAAAGTAAGTTCAACTTCAACGTCGGCTTTCTGAGATCAAAGCAGAGAGAGACAAACATTCTGTGACAGAATCGTTACCTGTCGTTCTTCTGCAGTTGTGTCCTGTTGTTTCAGAATCGGGTTGTCGAGAAAACTGTTGATCACTTTCTCAGTTCGAGTACCAAACGTTCTTGAATCACTAGAGGAACCACTGTTCTTGTAAGATGCTTTATCGTCCACATGTTTCTTGTGACCAGTCAGAGATTGAGATGCCTGATCTTCTATCTCGGTTTGACTTGAGGTGGTCTCACTCGTTCTTCCGAATTTTGCAATCAAGTTGGATGCAGTTCCCTTGAAACATTCATACTCATGGTTCCATGTGAATGAACAAGCTGATTATTAAGGACACATGTTGAAAGATTGGTGCTTTACCGTAATAGAAGCTTGAAGCTTGTGTATGGCACTTGGTTTCACTGCAATTCCTGTCATTAATGGGTAAAAGTTAATGACAATAAGAGAGCAATAGATAGTTCAAACAAGCAATCAAACAGATGCGTACATAACCAACAAATTCAAGTAAACTAGAAGAAGCTAATTTATCAAAAATTCAAGAGCCTTTTGTAGGACTCACTGCTCAGAGATCTTATCTTATTCGTCATTGTGTGTTGGAACAAAATGGAGACAAGAACTTTACTTAATAACAGAAACATACCAACTCCAAAACCATGACCGAATCCAACTCCACAGCCAACACCTGCTTTAATATTCCTAGCTCCAAGCTTCCTCAACTAAAGATGGCCCAAGTACACAGCCAAATTCAGAAGAGCATTATGTGGGAAGATGACAAAAACAAAGAAGAGCAAGAGTAACTGAAGAAAGGGAGAAAACACAAGCTTGTCTACTGTACAGCGTCATTCACGTGGTGCGTGCCCCCCGAAAACGCATTGGTTGCTCCTCTAGCTGCACTCATAACTTCCCCTACCATTGGAATACTACCTGATATGCACAGAGCAATAAAGCCAACATGGGTTCGTGATCTCACAATCATGATAAAGAGCCAGACCAATCAGCAAAAGTAATGACACAATGTTTTCGACTATAAATGAGCTTGACACTGCATTCATTTCCTAGAACTCTGATCAAAATTAAGTCTTTAACAAGGAATTGGTTTGGATATAGTAAAAAACGACTAAAAACGAAAATTCTATAACAATCTGAACAGGATAGATCAAGAAATCTACCGATCATAACTACTGCAAAGTTCTAGCAGACCATAATCATCAGTGGCAGCAATCAAAACTTCCACAATCAGGTCATCATGCGCTGATTCGATTTCAATCAAGATAACCCAGAGTCCCTAATTTCACTCTACCCGATTAGCCATTCAATGTCACCTCACGAAACGCAGGGAAAAAGGAAGAAGAAAGTATATACCGAGATTTAAAGGTGCACCACTGCCGATTCCAACTCCACAACCTACGCCGAATCCCGTGAATACTTGAAGAGCTTTGAAAGCAAAAGGGTTCTCCAATTTCATCCTCCCAGTAGAAAACCCTAATCCTTCCTTCTTCATCACCACACCATTGCTGCTGATGATGCTTCCACCGCCGCCACCTCTTCCACACCGTTCCTCCATCTCTTTCTCTGAAGATACGATAATGAGCGTTTCAGAAGCTAAGAGTCTTCCATTGCTATTATTTCCCGCCTGTTTTCCATTGCCGTACTTAACCGAACTGGTGAGAAAATGAGAGAGAGAGTGATTGACTCAGTAGAGAAGATGATTCAAGCCACCTGTCGATGAGAAAATGAATAACGGGCCTTAGTAATAAACTTTATTAAATTAAGCCCATACAACGTTAACGGCCCACTATTGTAAATACAAAAGAAATTAATTTGTCGGAGAAACAACAAAAGCAAATTACAGAAGCTTTCTCCGCCACGCATCTTCTGGGTTGGAGATGACACATCAGCAACTCAACAAAAAAAAAAAGACGTATTTAAATGAACAAAACATCGTGTGGGCCTTTCTCATTTCTTAACCACGTCGTCGACACAAAGCGATCGTTTACGTCTCTCTCTCTTTCTCTTTCAGTCTCCTCATCACCGACGAAGATCGCGGCCGAGTTCTCTCTTCATCATCGGAATCTCGTCTTTTTTTTTTTTCACCCGTAGATCGATCCAGCTACGAGATCAACGATGAATCCTGAATAGTAAGAACCTTCTTCTCTTTTCTCATATTCTTCAGATCGATTATCGTCTTTGAATTTTATAATGGTTTAGTTTCTCTTCGATTTTTCCTTTGATCGTGTTTTTAGCTGGAGATTCATGAAATTAATCTTAGCAATTTTAATTGATTTCTGCTTTTTTGTTCTGTCTGATCGATTTCTCGATTTGGATTCGTTTCGTGGATCGTATGTTTATTAGATCTAAAAATGAGATTTGGTTGAGATCTGTTGATTCTCGTGAATCATGGAGCTTGAGATTCTCGTAGTTAACATTTTAGGATGTGAAACCATAGTCGATTTGGGTTATGGAGCTTGAGATTGCGTTTTGAATTTCGGGATTTACCGATTCCTGTGCTGTGAAAAAAGAAAGTGGCGTTTAGAAATCTATGAGCTGGAGTAATATCAAATTGATTGTCTTTTACATGTCTCTTATGCTTCTTTCTACTCTTCATTTGCAGTGACTATCTGTTCAAGCTTTTGCTAATCGGTGATTCTGGTGTTGGAAAGTCATGCTTGCTTCTAAGGTTTGCTGTAAGTAATTTGACATCTCTTTCTTCTCTAAATTTGCCACACAAATTTTCTGAGGATCAGATACTGGACACCAATAGATGTTGTGCATAAGTAGCTGTTGCAATTATTCGGATCACTTTAGCTCTGTTTGTACCTCTATGATATTGAATACACGAATTGGCTTCTCTGTTAAGTGGCTTTGTTGCTCTTTTGAAGTGTTGTCTCAATTTGTTTTGTCGATGCAGGATGATTCCTACCTGGATAGCTACATCAGCACCATTGGTGTCGACTTTGTAAGCCTCTTCCACTTATCAATTGGTCATGCAGGAAGCATAAAAGTTCTAATTGTGTAATGATGTTTTGCAGAAAATCCGCACAGTTGAACAAGATGGAAAGACCATCAAACTCCAGATTGTAAGTTGTCTTGTCTCTTGAGCTGTGTCAGTATCGTGATTACTTGAAATCTATATGCGCATAGATCGTTGTCCTTATTAACCATCACCAAATATGCAGTGGGATACGGCAGGCCAAGAACGTTTCAGAACGATCACTAGCAGTTACTACAGAGGAGCTCATGGAATAATTGTATGTTCATAAGTAATTGTGATCAGACTAACATTATCTCCCTGTTATCTGACATCCATCAATAAAACTGAACTGTTTTGTGTTATTTTCATTTCTGTCAGGTGACTTATGATGTAACGGACCAAGAAAGCTTCAACAACGTCAAGCAGTGGCTAAATGAAATCGACCGCTACGCCAGTGAGAATGTGAACAAGCTACTGGTTTGGGAACAAGTGTGATCTCACATCACAGAAAGTTGTATCTACTGAGACAGCTAA